AAAAGTTTGCTGTTCTCTTGGTCTCAAGCATGCTTCTTTACACTGCCTTCTTCTAACCTCCTTTACCTAGATGGGAATTACAGATTTTAGTCTGTGCCACACTTGGGAGAAAACATATCTAATTTCATCATCTGTTAAGTGTGTCTCCTTTGTGCTCCACAGTTTGTAGTATCTGTTTAGTTGTCACTTTCTGCCACCAGTTCATAAGCTATTTGAAGGAGGGAACAATGTCTTGTTCATCATTATGTCTGGTGCCCCTAACACAACATCTGAAGTACAGTAGATGGGCATTCAGACCCCAGGATTACAAAAATGGGGAGATCTAGTAAAAGGAATACCTCAAGTGACATTAGCCTGATGCCATTACGTATTTGAATCACACAACCCTCCTTCTCCACACCCCACACTGATTCCCAGCTCACTGAGCTATATTCTGATTACAATTTGACCTCCAATCTACACATCCAAGGGAGAGAATCTGCTGATCCAAAAATGCAAGCATCTCAACCAACCCATTTTCCAGACGCTCGCCTTAGAATGAATGAATGAACTGATTCTCTGAGCAGGTTGTGTGTCACCTGCATTGGGGTGAGAAAGCCCTTATTATCCCAACTTAAGCACTTTACAAATTATATGAAATTGGGCAAGAAATTTATCTCCCTGAATGTTAGTTTCTGTGTCTTTAACATTTAGAATTAAATTCAGTAATTGCATATGAAGTGCCTGGCACCAGGTAGTTTTCAATAGGGAATATTTATTATTGTAACAGTTGCATCCTTCTTTCATGTTACATTCGTTTGAGTTCACTCCTGTGAGATGGAAAAAGTACTAAGAAGACTGAAGGCTCGACTCAGATCAGGAGATGGCAAACAGTGCTTAGCTGAGTGGCTAGTCTGTCCCCTTGCTGTTGCCCTAAATCCAGAATGACTTCAATACAGGAGACAAGACAGAGATGAAAATGAAAGCCCCCAGGTAAGGCTACGGAGAAACATTAACCCAGAGCTCATATATATATATTTTTTGGAGCTCATATTTTTAAAAGGACTAAGATTTTTGTTGTTTTGTTAAAATCATAATCAACAAGAGAGAGAAGTCTCTTTACATGTCCATCCCTCACTATGCATTGGACATCATAGAAGACCAAACATTATCAAATTTGAACCAGACAAGACTCAAATGGGACTTAATACAGAGCTGGGGAAACAGTTTTAATTGCAGAGCTTTGAACTTAATCTACACAGACTATCTCTACTTCCCTTTTCAATGATTCTTTTCCCTGAGGCTTCTCTATGGGTCTTTTTTTCCCCTCATAGTTTAATGAATCTTCTACTGCTTAAAAGAAAACCCTTTATATCTCTCTTGCACTGAATTTGCAAAAATCATTAAAGCTGCAAGAATTCTCTTCCTTTTCAAAGTTTGCAAAACTCCACCTACATTCTCCAGTGTCTTTGCTACATCACAGAGCATGAAGGTCATTGTCTCCTACTGCTGTTTAGAGGACAGCAGTAGGTCAAGGGGGTTTTTAGCCTCTATATGAACTGACCTGGCTTCTCGGCAGCCAAATTATACATTTACAGACAATCTCATTTCTAGTCAATTTTCTGATCTTATGTAAAAACCCATTATATATCTCTATTTCTATCTCTATCTATCTCCAGTTCCTCTATTGGGTTTTGGTGATGCTGAAAGAGAATCACGGTCTCTATTTAATTAGATATGGGGTCACATAAATTATGGCAGCTAGGAAATGATTGCTACTGCTATACTGCTGCTAGGAAAGCAATAGATGAATTTTATGTGAATGCATAATTGGCATGTTTTTTCAGAGCATTATTTATTTTGGAGAGTGACAAAGGAAAAGCTGCATTAGTGGCTCTAAAGGCAAAACACTGGTGATGGCATGGAGACAGGTGGCCTGGGAATGAGCATTTACATCAGAACCAACCCTAAGTCATCCCCAAGGAGCCCTTTAATTATTGCCCTCTGAGTCCTCTCTTTAAAAAAGTTTCTGTCTATCAAAATGCCTTTATTAAGCAATAAATAATTCAACGTTGCTTCTTTTTCCTTAAAGAAGAGCATATATGAAGAGCCTTCAGAGCATTAGCATTAGGGAAGCAGTGCTGCTGCCTAGAATTCACAAATTTCCAGCTAAAAGTATTGAAGTAGGCATTTTAGTCGGGTAAATGCACAATTCCCTTTAGGTTTCCTGAAGTGTTAAAGAAGGCTGCTGGTCCCATAGTTTCTCCTGAAGAGCCCCACGGGTTAGCATCCCTGGCTGGAAACCACTGTCTTAAAGGGCAAGGAGGCGACTTCAGAAAATAATGGGGAAACAATAAGTAGCATGTTCCTACTTAAGAAGGATACAGTTCCAGCACCATTGATCCTGCAGACTGTGCTTGCCTCAGGGAGCTTCTTCACAAAAGCTCTGGTGCATGGAGCAATCTGATGTAGCATTCGGTCACATTTCTCCCTCTTTATCACTGGCTTAGATTAATAATCTGTGCTCTTTCCTTTAATTTCATCTCTTGGATGTTTTCCTCGTTCACTTCTTCACTTCTTTCTCTTCTCCCATTCTAATTTCTTCACTGTGCCATTCAGCTTTCTACCATTGTCTCCTATCCCATCCACCTCCAGGGACATAATCCCTCTCCCAAGCATGAGAACCGACTTTTTCTAATAGCCCTTGTTCAGTGTTTCATATTTAACGTCTCCATTTTAGAGGTGGCTCACACGGTTTCTATTACTCTTGAAAAATGTCTATGCACCAACATGTATATTTTAACACAACTGTTTTTACCACAATCATAATAAAGCACATTAAGTCTCTAGAGACCTCTCTAAAATGTCAATATGCTGCAAGCACCTTATGTCTGTGTCTAAGGAGGGTCATTGCTCCAGAAGGTCCCTGAGGGAAAAGGCGCTTTGGCCAGTGTCTGCCATCATGTGGAGTGAATGGTAAGCATCTCAGCTCTTAGCTTCTGCCGAAGTCCTAACTCCAGTGCCTCTAATTAGATCATCTGCCTTTTGGATAGTTTTAATGATTGGGTAGCTTAATTCACCTCCATTCCTCAAGAAACTGCCTGTCACATCAATGGTTATTTCATGAATAGAATGACATCTCTGTCACCTAAGATATCATTATTTATCAACAAGTAACTAACAGTCTTATGAATGAGCCTCCACAATGGCATGACTCATGTTTGGCATTTATATAGCTTTAATGTGACTTAGTATAGCATAGAGGCTGAGTCTGGGCTTTTGGTCCAAATTGCCTGGGTTCAAATCCTAACTCTGCCACTTATTAGCAGTGAGACCTTAGGCAAGTTACTTCTCCGTGCCTTAGTTTCCTCACCTGTAAGATGAAGCTATTAACAATACTTGCATCACATGGTTGCTGTGAAATTTAAATAAATGAAAATACAAAGTAGCTGGCACTGAGCCAGTGCTCACACAAACGTGATTGTAGCTCTAAGAACCTACAGACTAGTTGGTGGAAAGGGTCAAAGACTGAAAAAACAAGTTTAAACTGAATAAAGACAGACTTTGGAATACAGAGTGCTTTCTGGAACTTGAAACATTAAGAAAATCAACTATTTTTTTCACATTTTCCCCATCCTCTTCTCTGGGAATAATAAAAATAGAGTAAAATCATTTAAATCCTGAAATAAATACCAGATTTGTAAAGCAAGGACTAAGGTGGTTATACAGCAAGAGATATTTATTGGTTGTGTCTAATTATATGGTTGGTCAATTTCAATTTTGAACTCACTAATTACATATTTCTTCTACAACTAGAAACCATGGGAAGTATTTGCATCAATGGCATAAAGAACTTCCCAACCCTCATTTGAAGAACCTACCACTGTTGCCACAAATTGAAAAGATCTGGCAGAAATCATGCCCACCACACTCAGGTAACCATTTGCCTGTGTAGCCCCAGGACAGGGAAGAATTTAAATCCTTCCTTGATATGCTCGCAGTGGGCATCTTTATATCAAATATGTTTGTTTCTTTTTTCTTTATTGACTGCCCTTGGTTAAAAGCATAGGCTTTGGAAATAAACAAGAGTAAAACAATGAAATGCTTAAAGTGATTTTCAGATATATAAATAACAACAAAAATTTAAATAGGTTATGTCTTTGTTTTTTTAAAAATAGACAACTCTATCCAACTTGAAAATTCTGAATGTGTAGGGCCTTCCTAAAATTCCAGATAGGATCTTCACTGGGATGTTAGTAATTCCAACTATTGCAGTGCTGGGGAGGGTAAGCCAAGAATATTTATCCAGGCTCCCCCCTTTTATAAATTCTGCTTCTCAAAGGGTCTCTTCTCTTTGACAGAGTCAAATGTTCAAGCCAAGTATCTTCCATGGAACAAAAACTATGAGAATAGCTAATCACACCTGTAATCTTTCTGCCAACATCAATAACATAATCTTCACACATTTACATTTACATTTTTGGAACATGATTATCAATGCCATAACACCCAATCTATTTTCATATACAACTGGGCACACAGTTGATCAATTATTCTGTCCCATTTCTTATAACCACTTTGGGCACCCAGACTAAATTCTCGTTTAATGTCTAGTGGTCAGGCAAGTTTATGCTTAATATTTTTATGATGATGATCAGGAGTATTACATGCAATTATGCCAAATGGCAATCTGGCCCTGAGGCATTTCATTTCCAAACTATCTTCATTTAATGGCAGAAGGAGAATCTAAATTCAGTTTACTATACTATGTCCATCTTAATTTTACTCAAAATAATGATATAAAAATATTCCTAGGATAAGCGTAGGGAAATAAAAATTTCCTTTGTTGATATCAGAGGTTAAACTTAGAAGAAAATTATTTGCCAACTCAGGTTGTCTTAATGTATTAAAATCTATCTTTTTTACTTTGAACCTTGAACTGCTTTAATACTACCTGTAAGCACATGTTTTGCCCTTATTTTTTTAATGCCGATTTAAAGAACCCCCCATACATTACTTACTTGTTTAAGCTTCTTTAGATCTTCATCAAGTTCTAAGTTGTCCAAAATAACAGCGACAAACAAACTCAGGAGGATCTATAAAATGGTTAAATAGCAATGAAAAAACCCACACGCCATAAGTATCAAAATATTATATATATGATATAGAATATCTACCTAAAATATACACTTATATAGAATGCATTAAACATGAGTTGTGAATCACTGCATAGGCATTTTAAGATACTTATAGCAAAGACATTAAAGGAAATGCATCTGTTAACTGAAATAAACAATATAAAATATTAATTTGCTTTATAAAACTGATTTAAAATGAAAATTAAGAAAACTTTAAAAAAATAACAATCTTACTTCTAAGACTGTATTCAAAGAAAATAACCTGAAGTACTAATGAAAACCTTTATATACAAAAGTGCTTGAGAGATTATTTGTAATAATGAAATACTGGAAATAACATCTAACCTTATGTAAATAGCTAATACAGTTATAGAGATCTCTATTGTAAAATTCATGCAGCCATTACAAATCCATTGTGGTAACTAGTCTCCAACATTGTGAGTCACTCGTGTTCACAGTCTTGTGTATCCCTTTACACATTGAATATGGCTGGTCTGTACAACCAATAGGTTACAGAAAGGATTGTGTGTGACTTATGAGGCTAGGTAGTAAAAGACATTGTGGCTTTCACCTCGCTCCCCCTTGGATCACACACTCTGCTGGAAGCCAGGTGCCATGTCCTACGGCCAGGTGCCATGTCCCTATGGAGAGGCCCATGTGGCAATGAGCTGAGGCCTCCTGCCACAGTCATGTGACTGACCCATCTCAGAAGTGGATCCTTCAGCCCTAGTAAAGCCTTCAGGTGACTGAAGCCCCAGCTAACATCTTGATTGCAAACTCATGGGACACTCTGAACTACAGAAACACCCAGCTAAGCCCGTCTCAGATTCCCAACCTGCAGAATCCACGTGAGATAATAGATGTTTATTGTTGTAAGCTCTTAAGTTGTTCATAATTTGTTCTATAGCAATTGATAACCAATACACTCATGAATTTTAACAGTAGAAAAAATGCTTACAATATTAAATGAGAGTATATATGGTAGAAGTGCAAGTATGTACAAAAAGAAATAACAGAGAAAATGCTAGGAGGAGGTACTTTAGAAATGTTAACGGTGCCTGTCTTTGTGGAAAAAATGGACTCCCCCTCCCTTATTTTTTGTATTTCACTATATTTTCCCAAATTAAAAAAAAGGCATATACTTCATTTGGAATGGGTAAATACGGTAAAAGAAAGAAAACAACGAAAAAGTAGAATTTTAAAAATATTTTAATTTCTAGTCCCTTTTCAACTTTGAATTCTCTAAAGTACCACATTCATTTGATAATCTTTTTCATTCTTAATATATATTCTTCCTTTTAATTTCCCTCTTGGCAAATGATTCCCATTTGTTACTATTAGACTTTGTTAAGCACAAAGGTAAGAAAATCGAGGCAATTTAGTCATGACTCTTAAGCACCAGAGAGATTATTATACAGAAGTTAATGGCTAGCTGTTTTCCAAGTTTAATGAGCATATAACAAGGGGGAAAAAAAGCCTCAACTACTATGGAGTTTTGACAATGTTTGGCTCAGGACAATTGCCAGCACTCTTCCTGTGAATAGCCACAGCCTTTGGGATCCTGCCAGAGCTTAAAGAGGATACAGAATGGTCTAGAACATAGATTTTTTTTCTTTTGTTTAATTTTTTTAAAATTGAAGCATATTTGATTTACAATGTTGTGTTAATTTCTGCTGTACAGCAAAGTAATACACACACACACACATATATATACATATATATACTTTTTTATATACTTTTCCATTATGGTTTATTACAGGATATTGAATATAGTTCCCTGTATTATAGGAACAACAGAAGGACCTTGTTGTTTATCAATTCTGTATATAATAGTCTGTATCTGCTGACCCCAAACTCCCAATCCATCCCTCCCGCATACCTCCTCCCCCTTGGCAACCACGTCTGTTCTCTATTAGACCACAGATTTTTTACTGATGTCACCACGTCCACCACCCTGTGCACATCTGGGCACAGATATATTCAGGCTTACTCTAAACCAGACATTATTCTATACAGGACATTTCATAGTTCACTCCAAGTCTAGCCCTTGTCCTGTGACCTTGAGGTTGACCTTGACGTTATCATCAAAAGTACTCTCAGTACTCCCTTCTCCTGCTTCCTCTCCCAGACTCACAGTGGCCACCTGAAGGGCTCCGCTGTGAATCTGAGCTGTCTCACACCACTTCTGTCTCTCCTGGGCACTGGAAGCAGCCCTGGCTCTGTGTCCTAACCTAACAGCCTTTCCTATCTCCCCAGGGAAAGGGCCAACACAAATCTAAAAAGAAAAAAATAATTTCCCTGATTAAAAAAGGGAAAGCCACAGTTCCCCTCCCTTTGCTTAGCGCATTTCCTTGAAAACTTACGCTTATAAATTCTGTCCCTTTGAGATGTACACAGATCTTTTTAAAAGCTAAATAAGTCTCATCATTTTACAACCCAGGAAGAGTGCCCTGTCTCCCCTTCTCCATGGGAAGTTGGGAATATAACTTAGCCACCTGGACCCATGTTGCAAAACTACCTATTTATCATGGAGATATGAAAAGTTTTATTTTCCTTCGGGTAAAGGCAATTAGCTATCACAGAGGGCCGTCCCAGTTACCAGGTGAATTTAGGGGGAACTGTATTTAACAAAAGATGCCGTCGAGTCTTCTTGCCTGAGGACTACTTGTTTTCATCCTGAGAGAATGGATGTGTTGTGGGGATGTGTATCAAAGGGTGACACGGCTTTCTGTCTTTGCGATCACTTTGCTGGACTGCCTGCGATGCCCATCACAGTCTGGTTTAGTGCTATTCAATAATAAAACTGTTTTCTTTCTTGTCTACCTTGGTGGAGGTTTTCTGGATTGTCAGGAGATTTTATTTTTAATTATTTTCCCAACACCAGACAGATGGCAGGCTACTTAACCACAGCAAGGTTATGCTATTCGATTAAATTGGACTCTGTCGCTGTGTCAGATACTGCCTGGTCAGGAACATAAATGCGATACCGTGCTCACCGCTACGAAGTTCACAATCGAATTAAGCAGACGTGGGTTGGCAGCCTGGTGGAAAAGAGCAATGTGGTTGGAGACCTTGGCCGGCAAATAGGCTCTGACAGTCACCAGCTGCGTGGCAACCACTAGCCCACTGTGAATTTCAGTGCTCTCATTTGTAAAATACGATGGCTATAATAATAATAGCTTGACAAATTGCAGCTATAGTATTTTTTCATTTAATCCTCCTGCAAGAACCCTGGGGTGTGATATAGCCTATATGAAAATACACAGACGTAAACTTAGATATGCGACACTAAAACAGTTTTCTTCATATTTTTACATATCAGTTGAATGTAGTCCATAAGCCCTCCATTTGTGTTGATGGCTGAAAACCGAATCTTGCTACATGAATCCAATTTTGTCCTTTAAAACTTAGTTACATTTGAATAAATGCTCCTTTTCTTTGTAGGTCTGGTTTAAAGTCAAAGATGTGATGGTCATTGGCCTCTGGTCCACTGTGGCCATGTGACTGATCCTCTGTCCCCCATCAGGGGCAGTGATGGCGCTTATTTGGGGGACGCTGGGCTTTCTCTCTGCTGAATTGGTCACTACCTCAGTTCCTGCAGCTCCTGCTAAGATCTCTGGTGCTCAGTGACACCCCTTGTTTTAGTTTCCTGGGGCTGCTGCAACAAATTGCACTAGCTTTGTGACTTAAAACAACAGAGGGGGATTCTATGACAGTTCTGGAGGCCAGAATTCCAAACTCGAGCTGTCGGCAGGATCACACTCCCTCCAAAGGCTATAGGGGAGGATCCTTTCTTGCCTCTTCCAGCATCTCGTGGCCCCAGGCATCGCCTGGCTTGCAGCAGCCTCACTCCACAATCTCTGTCTCTGTCTTTTCCTCATACTCCCTGCATCTTGTCCTCACCCTTCTCTTATAAGGACACTTGTTATTGGACTTGAGACTTAACTGGATAATCCAGATTAATCTCATCTCAAGATCCTTAATTTAATTGCATCTGAAATGACCATTTTCCCAAATAAGGTCACATTCACAAGCCTGGGAGTTAGGACATGGATATACTTTTGTGGAGCACCCATTCAATCCCCTCTACTCTCTATCTGGTCTCTAATTTGGGCCCTTGTTCTAGCAGTAGTGTTCTTCCTACTCAGTGGCTTTCAACTCTCAAGGAAGTTTGGAAGTTCTGCCATTCCAGGTGGAGGCTAAGGGAGACTGGTTTTTTGGGGGGGATCTTTCAGACTCTCTCTACCTAGACCTCTCAGGCAGCTACACAGCTCTCTGCGGGCTGCCCCTCGTCTGTGTCGGCCCCTAGCAAGGCTCTCTCCCCATCAAGTTCAGACAAGAAGTGGTTGCAGGTCTTGGCTGTCAACACACCAACGATGGTGTGACGTGCCACCATCGTCGAAACGCACCGCCTCCCCGTCTCTCTCTGGGCCCTTCTGCCTCCCTCATACTTCATCCCCAGAAAACGTTCTTATTTCCTCTCAGAAAGCAGGGATGTGAAGGAAAATGGGAGCAGGGGCTTGGAGTGGGGGCACACGTGCATGAAGACTGACAACCAGAAACTAAACTCAACCAGAGTATCCCAGGTTCGATTTCTAAGCACTCCGATTTCTCAGAGCTGATCTGGGCCGATGCGTCTGGGTGCCTCTTCTGAACGCTGCTCATTTAAGATCATGAGGGGCTGATCATGAGTCCAGCCAGGTGCTACCAGGATGGCAAGATACCAAGGAGAAGGAGGTTTTTGGCAGGAAGGGAATTGTGAGAAAGTCTTTCCAGGTGGCATGAGGGAAGACAGGGCCTTGGGAGAGTGGGGCTAACTAGGGACCTGGTGAGCAGGTGAGTATGTCCAGAGCATGGGTGCCTGGAAGGAGGCTGGGGGAGCCTGAGAGGTAGGCCTGGGGGCTGGCAGTTTGCCCAAATGCCACCAAGGGAGGTCGGGAGGTGTGAGAGGGAGGTTG